TTATTGAAAAATGTTAATAAATTATTAATTTAAAGATAATAAAAAATGAAATTGATACAAGATGCTTTTTGTTTTCTAAGCTCGTCTAATTTTAATTATTTAGTCAAGTCAAGGGTAATTTTACTAGTTTTTAACCTGACTAACTGCATTCTAGTTAATTTTATTAAATTTATTTTTCTCAAAACATTTATTTTCTTTTTTGTCGTGTATTTTTTTTATTCTTTTTAATTTGCTTTACTTTTAATTTTTTTATTGTATACAAGAAGTATGACATTTTTTACTTTGTATGTTTTTATTGAAGTTATTTTTAATTATTTATTTTTACGTTTTTGCTTTTTTCCCTCAATTATGTGACAAACTAAAACTTTTTTTAAAACTAAAATATTTGGGTTTTAAAGAAGATATTTAACGTTAAAATTCTACACACATTATTGGTATACCAATATTTTTTTGTTTTAGTTATTATTTATTTTTTTTTTTTTTTACTCTCAACCATATTTTTTTCTTACTCCTGCATGTCTTCATTATTCTTTCACCTTTGTATTTTTATTCACTCCGAAATATAATAAAAATTCACTGGTGCTTTTATTCGTTTATTTTATTTTAATAAAATACACTTATTAGACATTTGTTAGATTAACATTAAGAAAATTTTAAAACTACAACAATTTTTTTTTTCTATTTTATTAGTTGCCGTAACTATGAAAGCTTGAAGTAAGAACGTTATCGGATGCTTGTTTTTCTACTTTTGTAATCAATTATTCTGATTTATCAGTGGCACTCGAAGCCTCCACTCGTATCAATCTTAATTCAATCGAGCACTATTTGAATTCAACCAGCAGGTCGGTTACATTTAGTAGAGTAGATCAGTTACGAGTACATTACCGATAAACTCCCTAATCAACATAAACAATTTTTCGATAAAACCTCACTATCGAAGGTCAAGACTCCGGCCCTGTCCGAATCTATGATTATGGTCGTTGATATAGATATCATTGTGGGCTAGTTGGGACGGGACCGGTCATTATCGTTATTACCGTTTCCTATCTTAACATGGCCACAAATAACTAAAACAATAGGAACAGTATAATGCCCAGAACCGGTTCTTGGTAGATTATAATTGCCCAGGATGGAGTACAATACTTGGTACGTGTATGTACAGAGCGAGTCGTGTGTAATGCTTATATCATGCACTCATTTGCATACAGGGTGACAGCAATTAATTTCGCGTTATTATCGATCAAAAACCGTTGATTAATTTCATGAAATTTTCGAAAAAATGATGATTTAAGGTCGGTCTACGAAAGTGAATCCATCTCTCTTCACGTCTGAAAAAGACAAATGAACTTGGTAAAACAGATAAGCGCCTCGAATTTTAAATAAACCGAATTCTTTCGGTTTTTAATGCTACGTCAATAAAGCGTGTGCTTTGAAAAGAATTTCTCAGATTGTTGATAATTAGTCGTAAAAAATTTCCTTATAATCGCTTGATCAGTGACTAAGCGAAATATGTCGAAATTAAAAAGTTACTAAAAGCTTCGTTCGTTTTTTTCTTCTGACTATTGGGTTGGTAATAAGCCGGGCGCGCGTTCTTTTGTTTTCCTCGTGAAACATCTGAAAAAATAATTGAACATCGAACATTAATAACGACTCTAACCTGTTTCTCTCTTTCAAAATATATATCTGATTATGAGAGAGGTTGGTGGTTTTTTCGTTGGTTGTCTGTGTCGTGGTTTCGATTTTTATGGCTGTCAGGGACTATAATTTCGGAATTCGATTTTTAAAAATTCTACTCTATATTTATGTTGTACGTGATAGCATTCGGTGGGGTATTTTTCGTTCGATTTTCGTGATTCCTCCTCACAAGGCAAAAAATAGATTTATGGATTGTAATAATATCGAGAGTTAATTGAGATTCTTTGCCCCTCGACGATTCACTTTTTTACCACTCTCGAGTTTCAAACAGATAATGCGCTAATGCTAAATTTATTCATAGTTACTGGGAAACATTAAAGCAGAGATGCGTGTAGCAAGACTGGAAACGATCAGGATTTTTCCCCTTTTAATTAGATGGACGACTAGGGGCTTTATCTTAATGGCCCAATAAGAAAAATTCGGACCTCCAAGAAACACCAAAAGCTCACAAATTGACACATTTTTGAAAGAAAAAATTAAACTCGATCAAATTTTATACAGTAGAATAAATATTGTTACAGAGAATTTCTGAAATATTGTATTGTTGATAACCTTTATTTGTAGTTCAAGTGCAGTGATGTTTGTCTATAACGTATTTTTAGAATTTTCTGCAAGGCCATTGTGATAAAAAGTTTTTCTAATGTTTTTTTTTGGTAGCTAATTTTTCCACGAGACGCCACTGTATATTGTCAAGCTTTTGTTGCGCTCTTTTATCAATTTTTTTAATCGAAATCTATAAGTTCTAGATCAACACGGTTTGTTTCGGAAAATTTCTTGGTTAATTTTTTGTATCAGAAGATTTAAGAAAATTAATTTTTTGTTACAACCACAATTTTTGCATTTATTATTCAATATCTCATAAATTATTGGTCGTAGAGCATTTTAACTGGTTGCATCGTATTCAGCGCGTGAGTCAAAAATATTGAAAATAATTCACTATAAATTCAAAACTATTACGAATTTTGCAATTTGATTGACGCCAATCGATTCTCCGGAACATTTTACATACAGGGTGTCTCAGCTAGTTGAAAAAGTCCATTAGTGATCTTTAAATTAGAAAATAATTGTATAGGACATTGATAGATACTAGTGTGCATCACCTAAAATTATTTTCAACCATACAGCATGTCCCAAAAATAAGTTACGATACAAACTTGTGTTTTTTTAAGTAAAACACCGTATGTTTCTTTGCATTTTTGGATGTAGCCTTTTAAAACAATGTTTTTACGCTAAACTTTTATTAGTCGATTTCGCTTAGTTTTAGAATAAGACATTTTTTTCTGGACGAAAACATGCACTTTTTCAAAATTTATTACACAAAAATTAAGACAGCTAGAACAATTTTTTTCTTACTTCTGCAAAGAAGAAAGTACCGAATATATAAAAGCTGTATCAATTTTTTAGTGTTTTGTATTTGTAAAGATTAATAAATCAAGAAGTTTGTAAAAAGTTAAATAACTTAAAAGTTTAAAAAAATTAAGAATAATGGATTCAGTTTAACACAAATGTAATTATTAAGTGATATTTCTTTATCTCGTGTGCAACTGTGCACTTTTTGGCTACTGAAACAGTAGTAATTATTTTTTTTTTTAATGTTTACCGTTAAATATCTTTTTAGTTAGAGATTATAAACACCTAAAGGTAAATAATTTTAGAAAGACAATTTAGTAATCTTTTAAATGCAAAAATAATAAATAGGGTGTTCTAAATCTTTTAAGTTATTGAACTTTTAACAAACTTCATTTTTTTATCTTTGCAAATGCAACACACTAAAAAAATGTTACAACCTTATTGAGTGTACCTTCTTCTTTGCGGTAGTAAAAAAAATATTGGAAGATGTGTTAGTTTTTGTGTAATGAATTTTTAAAAAGTGCATGTTCTCGTCAAAAAGACCGTCTTATTTTTAAAACTAAGTAAAATCGACCAATAAAAGTTTAAAAACATTGTTATAGAAATCTACATCTAAAAACGCTAAAAAACATATAGTGTTTTATTTAAAAAAAAAACACAAGTTTGTCTTGTAATTTATTTTTGAGACACGCTGTATAGTTGAAATTAATTTTGTGCGATGTCCTATATATCGGGTGTTTCAAAAATGTGTGGCATAATTTTAACCACGAATACCCTTCTACAAATGAGAATAGAGAGCACAGTATTTACTGAACTAACTCAAAAAATAGAAAAATTACAGCTTTCCAAAAATCGGTATGAAAAATGATTTTTTGAAAATATTTTGGTTATCGTTTATCCGATTATTATGAAACTTTGCATGTCAAGGGACAAAAAGACTCTCTTTGATATGGTGTAAACGGAAGTCTTGTAAAAGCTATTCCGGTAACAATGGTACCCTTCCAGTTTTTGGGTCATAACTCTTTTTTTCAGCCTATTAACAGATATTTTTGATGCCAAAAATCAACAGCCCGATCATTTTTTCATAAAAAAGTACTTTTATTAATATCGCTAAAATGTACCGTTCTCGAGTTATTTTGGTTTAAACAAAACTCTTCACCGCGCTGCAAAATCAAAAAGTATGAATTTTGAGCGTATCATTATTTTGGAAACAATCCACTACGAATGACATAGCTGTCAACGCTGTCACATTTAATGTCAATTTTTTTGAATCCAAAGTAAAATTTGACTATTTCTCGATGATCATAGTAAAACACACGATTATGTCTTGGAAGAAACAATGCATAAGCTGGCATTAACCATCCCGGCCATCACAACTTGATCTGAGAATACACCACGGAAATTTTCACACCGTAAAACGATTTTCCCTCCAAATTGTTGTTTTTTCTTCGTATGTCTACGTCAAAATATTATAACATTAAGGTACAGGTTTGCCGCAATTTACAAAATAATTTTTAGTTTTTTTTCCAAAAAAAAACATATCTCAAAAACTATGTGTGCTAAGTGAAAACGGTTTGAACAGGCGTATTCTCTGGTAGTTTTTTATAAGAGTCAAAACTTATTTTTTTGGTGAAAATTGGATATAATGCTTATGACTTAGGTATAGCACTATTCTTTACTTTATGTATCGCAAAAACTATGCATCTTAGGGTATTTTAACTTGGTGCATCGTGTTCAGCACGTTCTTATGTTAGCGCCTAGGTGTGTACTTCTAGCTTCTATCAAAATTTTTCACAAGATCAAATAAATAAACATGCACTAGAGAAACTTAATGGGACTTGGGTGTTAATTAAAAGAAATAATCATTTGTTATTCCAAATAAAATCGATTTGGAATGAAATTAACTCATTACCTTAAGTGCTCCAATCGATAATTTTACTGTTCAATGTCAAACTATGTCGTTCAAGCTCTTGTCTCTAGTTTTCAAAATTGGTAAATTTCTTCTAATCACACCGTCCAAAATCGATCAAAAACACCGAACAGCTTGGCAGAAAATTTTTGCAATGGTTTTGGTCGTATTTTTGACAATTTGTACCATAATTTGGTTTAATTCTCGGAACACTTATTACAAACACTTTATTCATATCAAACTAGTAATGCGGGTTTTTCGTCAAATGACGAAGTATTTGTGTTGCTGTTATGCCATCATTGGTGTAAATTTTTTCAACAGAAGACAGTGGTATAAACTTACAAAATTGTTGAAAGTTGTGACAATTTGTGAGCAAGTTGAGTCGAGGTTTTACTACGTTGAATTTGTTGTCTTGAATGTGTTTTTTTGTATTATTATGTCGTTTTCTGGTTATGCTTTTCACAATTATCAATATATTAGTTGGTATGAGATTGTTGTAGTTGCTGGGTGGGAATGGTACTATATGTTCTACTACAACTATCTCATTTATATCTTCTTGAAGATCATACTCAACAAATATAAAGAGTTGAATAAAATTTTGAAGAAACAACAAGACATTGTTGTGGTGAAAATGGAATACATTTTGTTGACTCTTCAAGACGCTGTTGATAATTTTAACGAGATTTTTGGGTGGCCTTTCTTTTTTCTAATTTCTTATTCTACCTTATTGTTTTTGGATTACACTGACGACTTTGTTAATGGATACTTATTAAAATCCAATAAAGCTAAGCATGAAATGATTTTTCCAACAAATATTATTTTCGAGATTATTCTAGTTTTAATGGTTTTGGTAAGTTTTTGTCTGATTTTTTTTTAGAAAAATTCCGTGTTTTTTTTTTAGTTTGGTTCTATTGTTATCATTTTATTATGTGATTCCATTGGGCAAGAAATGAAAAAAATACAGAAGAATTTAGTTAAATTGAGGCAAGGTTTTTCCGTTCAGAAGAAGAAAGAAATTAATGAAATTATCATTAATTGTACTTTGGCTAACACTTTTCCGGAATTTACCGCCGCTGGGTTTTTCGTGGTGAGAAAATCGACCATTTTGACGATTTTGGGTACCACTGCCACTTTTCTTATCATTATGGTGCAGTTTGAAGACGATAAATAAACATTTTGACACAGATCTGTGATTTTGAAATCAAGTTGCCTACAGTGGAAACAGTAGAGATGGGAGATTTTTTATTGTTATACATATAAAGTAATCAATGTTTTTCAAATTTTTTAATTATCTTTTTATTTTTATTGAAAGAATAATCTAAAATTTATTTTTCACTTTTGAGTGAGTGAATTTTTTTTTACAAATAAGATTTTTAGAAATTAATTGTAATTTTAGAAGCATCAGAATAAAAATATTGTTTTTTCTCTAGCCATAAGTGCATAGTAAGAATACCATAGGAATTCATTGGATTTAGATCTGAATTTGGTTTGTGTCCCCAGATAGGTGAAACTCGTTTCTCGAAAAAAATCTCGATTTAAATTTATATTTCGTCGGGTTTAGCCCTTGGTTATAAACAAATTTCTAATTTCTAATTAATTTCTTTTGAAAAATCAAGTATGTCTTGGAAATTTTCAAAAAAAAAATTAAAATGGGCCAAAATATTGATTCTAAACAACTTTTTTTGTCATATTTGGTATATAAAAGGCACTTTTGTTTAACAGAAAAATAGATTTTTTGAAAATTTCTAAAGCTTAGTTAATTTTTCAAAACTAAAATTATGTTAGAAATTAATTCTTAACCAAGCAGGGCTGAACTCCAAAAAATGAAGATTTTAATCAAAAATTTTGTATCTTTTATAAGAGTCGTTTCACCTTTCTGGGGACACACTATATATATATAACCTTTTTTAATCACGTAGAACACACACGATTTATAGTATTTATCTTATTTTCTAATTTAAATTCAAATTCAGATTTAGAGAATTTTGAAAAAAAACAACAGTTCTTGATGTGGACTTATTTGTTGAGCCTTGGAAGTTTTGGGGAGAAATTGCTCATTTACGATACATGTTTGGAAAAGTCAAAGGAGTCTTTGAGGGACAAAAGAAGTTGAATGAGACCGAAATCGAACTTCAAATTTTTGAGTTGTTGTTTTTTTTTTGACCATTTTGTTATAATTTTCCGCAATTATATTCTCGGTGTGAAATAAATTTTTGTGCACCAAAGACATTCAATTGGACTCAGCTCCGGCTATGCAGTGTTTTCGTCGAAAATGCTGCTGATTTTGATCTTGAGGTTGTCTAAGTCGTGATTTTGTTTGTTAAAAAACGTGTTGGTCGAGTTCAAAATCCGGTAGTGGCTATAAAAGGATCTTTGAGCATCGCACATATCAGAAATAAGCAAGCCAATCATCTATCATATCTGGTATCGATCGGATCGTTTCTTATACATGTGCTATGTTCAATAGGCTGTATCGGTGTTATAAAGAGATTACCAACAATGATTTTTGATATTTTTCCTTTCCCGTCCGAAAGACGCAAGTGTGATAGGCGTCAAAGAAAAGCTGACTCACTTGACGGGGGCCATTGTTGTAATGGAATGCCCATCAGAGAGAAGGCGGCGACGGCGGCGGCGTCGTCCCAAAACCTCATATACGACCGAAAACCGAACAATAGAGCGATGAATGACAGAAGAAAAAAAACACACCGATATTAACAATTATAATACATGATTGGAACATTTTAACAAAATATACCCATAAATCCGAGAAATTCCATCTCGGTCCGGGCCAACGTCACGGTAGGCCGGGGACAAAGACGGAACGATACGACCGAGACGGCATTGGAAAGACAAAAGAATATCGGGCACGTGATGCCGATGCCCGGCTATGAATATCTCGATAAATATCTTCGAGATGACTTGAATTTTCAATACATACTAATTATCTTTTCGATCAGATAAGGAATATTCATTTGAAAAGGAATAAAATCCAAGTTAAAAACCTCCATCAAAAAAATTTATGACAGCTCACGTGGAATTTTTTTATTCTGACACTAATTGAACCTAACCCTTTAACCGGCTTCAATCTCTCTCTCTCTCTCTCTCTCTAATGCGAATTTTGGCCAACCCTTTGGTGGTCATGTGACCACTCTCCCATCTCTAAACCCACAACAACACAGCATTTTTCACTTTTATAATAACTATTCAAATACAAAAACTTGAAATTTACTTTGAATAAAAAAATTAAATATCATCATCTGGGATCTAGTCGGCCGTGCATCAATCTACGACCGACTTGAATATTCCATCTCTTTCCATCACGTTACATCATGTCGGGAGTGCTGTCGTGGTTGGTTTCATTGTAAAGTCGATGATTTTTCAAATTCAAGAAGAATGACTTGACTCATTTTTTAAAGTCTCGAGGTTAGAATGTGATCGGTTGGTAGTGTCCAAGACGGTGATATGGTCACATTCTCGTCTCGTAATAATAATTATTTTAAACAATAGGTGACCCGCTGTGAATAATATTTGAGATGGACGAGTTGTTCTTGTGGTGTAGTCGTTTAAAGGCGATTTTACCGTGGAATATGGAGCTATTGTGCGGATTATTCGAAATTTTATTACAATAAAAAAGTAAATAAGATGAACGTTTGGAATAAGTCGAGGAATGTGAAAGAGAGAACAGATTTATCATGTGTGTGTGTTATGTATATGAATTAATTCACGAAAGATTGATGGATTCTCTTCTTGGGATTCTCAAGCATTCAACACGGTTTTTTTACAAAGAAATATTCCTTTACTAATTAATTTTTGGGCAATCTGAGGGGTCACCGGCACTCCATATGCTCGATAATTAGATCGCTTGCGATTGATACCTAAAGAAATTCCTCGAGGAGAAGAGCATAGACCAAAAAACACTTCAACTATTACCATCTTCTGAAAAAATGTTTTTTTATTAACTTTTTACCTATAAAAAAAAATTAAAACAGTTTAGTTGAATATGGAAAATAAATTAGAACTCAACATTAGTGAAATATGATCTCGTTGTTGTTCTTTTTATAATTTGTATTTTATTAAATAATGCTTGAAATTTTACAAAATAGTAAATTCAACCAAATTTTAAAAACTTGCTGTAAAACTATGATATTTTTTCTAAGATAGTTTTTTTTTACATAATTATACGTCAAGTGAGTCAAAATTAGGACCATTTTACATTTTTTTTTTAAATATTGTTTACCTGAAATTTTACCTGAATAAACTGAATTTTGATCAATATTTTAAAAACTGGTAGTCGTGGAGAAAAAAATAATATGAGATTTGATATTGTGACACTATTTTCATGTAAAAAACGAGTTCCCAATAATTTTGACAAAACATTTGCAAATCAGATACCTAGTGTGAGTTGTACCTATATACTAATAATATTGACAAATTTTGACAAAAAAATTAGTAGGTACAGAATTTCCAAAAAATTCAGCATTTTGACTTTAATTTTTGGTAAAAAACCGTTGCAGACTGTGTAATTTTCTAACTGCTTGAGAAGATACACTTTGTAATTTTCTATATCAATCTCAACAAATAGAAATTTATAAAAGTTACCAGTTTTAAAGATTGATATTCAGTAGAAAATACGTTTATTATTATTAACATTAGGTACGAAAATTATCGTTAATAGTGAAAAAAAAAATTGACAAGACTGGGATCGAACTTTAAATTTTTGAGTTGCAAAAAACGCATCTGTAGACTAGATCTCTTGCACTTAATGCACAGTTTCAAAAAAAAAAAAAAAAATTCAGATAAAGACACTAGACCTCAATATATTTTTTGAGTCAAGTTTTTGGAAACAAACTCGCTGAATTTCCTAACAATCTATTTTTATTTTATTACAATAATATGATTTAATGAACTATTTTACTGGATATTGACATGACAGCTGTAAATGTTGTGAAAAGTTAATATTTGTTACCATCTCTATTACCAAAATAATAATTAACAGTGAAAAAGAAAATTGACCGGAGTCGGGATCGAACTTCAAGTTTTTGAGTTGTGGCCCTGAGAGTGATTGGTTGCTTGTCACAATCTAGTTTACTGTTTTTTTTTTATTATGTATATTTATTAAATTCATTGTTTTTTAACTAGTCCTTAAGTTGCATTTAACAAGATATAGGTACGAGTACGTAATAATAATAATTATTGTTTATTTTAAATTTTAAAAATTGTAAAAAAATTAAACTAGTTTTCAGTGACTTTTGTCTACTCTCTACAGTAGATATTGAACCTTGAACTTGAATCAGTTAAGGTCAAGGTCATTTTTTCTCTCTCTCACACACATTTTTTCAGGGCTATCTACTATTTCCTTCTCTCTCTCTCATTCACTCTTCTCTTCCTAATTGCTTTTCAAGGTCTAGTCTGCGTTTTGTACTCCTCACTCTATATCTACTTTAAGGTAATCTATTAATAATTGAGGTTTATTTCAAAAGGTCTTTCATTTTTGGGTTATTGGGTTCTGTTCCTAAACATATATTGAGAGATTTCGAGTTTGAGATTTGGCTTGATAAAATGATAATTAGGCATAATAATCATTAGGCAAATTAAGAAATTCAGAGTTAGTCGGAATGTTGAACACGTCAATTATTTTGTATAAAAAACCTGTGAAACTGTTGAAGAATTTGGTCGAACCGCGCCACTGTTTACGGTTTTCCACTAATAAATTTACCGCTATCTCATAAAAGAGATTTTGGTCAAATTTCACCATATGCTTGCTCTATATGAATAAAGAACTAACCTCTTGCATTAACTGTATATTTACGACGAATTTCCAATAAATAAATCTTTTTATTTCGGGTACGTGATATCCTGGTCTCACCTCGTCGAGGTGGTCTCCTATCACCTAGTCGTTATCACTTTCCGAGAACGATCCCACTTGCAAATCTGCCCTCAAGAATTTGCATTGTATAGAGCACACCAATTAAGAGTCGCTTATCTCACCTAAACCGAGAAATAAATTCGATTTTAATCATTTTCCAGACTTATTATAATTCGATATTCGACCTGAAGCGTTTTATTATAATTTTTATTAAACGGATGTGACGTCACGTCTAACTGTTTTCGACTTAATACCACACCTTTTTGGCTCAAAACAATTGCTTCCATGTTCGGATTAATAATAAT